GAGACTAAATTCTGTCACCGTCTTCAGGTAAAAAAATAAAACGATGTTTTAAACAAAACTAAGACGATGGATAATATCCAGGAACATATAACATTTGTATTTCTTGGCTTGCAGAGTAACTGTCAACTTTTTGTATTAACGTACTACATGACAGAGTTATTAACAGTTATTATTATTAACAGATGGCAGGGCAGGCGTCTTCACACTGGCACATCAATATATGGAAGTTGTTCAGACGTGAAGAAATCGATATGTGATTCGAACACGGAAACATTCTCCTCTTATGTTCAACCACAAGGACTCACTACTACAGCAACATTGGCTCCTGCTGCGCTTCGAAACCTACCAACACACACCAACGCGAGATCCGAAGAAAAGACTGCCTAGATCGTTCCAAACTTTCTTCTGACACACGCGGACGTCCTGAACAATTCCAATTACAAAGGCATCCCGCTGTCTGAAACTGCTGATACCAATGCCTAATGCTGTTGACAGAGGGGGGAGCACTCTGAAATTGTCTCCAGAAGACCCACTGAACAGAAACAATTGATACATTCTTCGCAAACTGCAGCACACAAAATGCTTCTGCTACGGATTCGCTATTTTTGTAACTTCACGGACGGAGTGGGAGGGAGGGGGGAGTGGGATTTTGCATGCAATCAGAACTTGAATATCTGATGCCTCGTTCCATGTGCGAATCACCCTTCTACATGCATCTTCCAAGCACTCCGAATACTTAACTGAAGAACACTTGAAATTTACTGAAAATGTGGCAGTAAAACTCATGAGAGGAGTGGGAGATATTTAGGAAAATAAAGGATCATTTTTACAGTGAACCATTTTGTTAGGGTTTTGCCTGCTCCGAGAAGGCGAGTACCTGATTACCAGTACTGGGAATTCCCAGATCTAAGGTTGTGGTTTAAGTATACTTGTAATAAGTCCTTTCCCTTAAGGTACACAAAGAGAAGGATGTTGAGTTATTGTATTATTATATGTACTGTCCATTTGGCATTTTTATTTCTTCTTATACATTATTATTACAAATTTTATTTTAGAAGTGAAAATATCGTGGCCCAGTTAACAGTTTCCCTGACCCCCCCATTTTTCCGGCTTTTACCTGTGACTCCTCCGAAATACGGCATGGCCCACGGGGGCAGGAAATATAGCTCCTGTTGAGAACCACTAGTTTGAGTAATGTCATTAAAGCATTACAGTTTTCTTTCTCATCCCCTTTCGTTTCCATTTAATTCTCATTCTCGGCCTTTTTTTTTTTTTGATGATACAAAATATCTGCCATTGAATGCCAATGCAATGTAGACCTGTTAAGTCAAACTGGAGAAGAAGTTGCCGAAAACGTATACTTCATTTATGTCTGGCACCGCAGAAAACTCAAATCTTATGCATCATCATCATCATCATCATCATCATCATCATCATCATCAGTAATCTTTCAGACGACAGGTCCACAAACTCTTCCAAAACAGTTCCTCCACTTAATGCGATCTAGAGCTTTCTCCTTCATATGAGAATATCCTCTTCTGTCCCCAAGGTCATCCATCATCTTACTCCTTCTTCCTCGTCTTCTGGTCACTTCTATCCGACCCTCTATCTTTCCTTCAATAACTTCTTTTAGAAGGCAGTTACTGCGTAAGATATGACCAATCCAATTATCCTTCCGTTTTCTTATTTCATGTAGGATATTCCTCTGCTCACTGACTCTAATTAACACTTCTTCATTTCTCACATAATCGGTCCAACTGATCTTCTCCATCCTTCTCCAACACCACATTTCGAAGCTTTCCTTTGTGTTTCTGATCTACTGGCCTAAGTGTCCAAGTATCAGCCCCATACAAAGCTATGCTCCAAATGTAGCATTTCACTAGTTTCTTTCTCAAATTTAAGTCCAATTTGCTGGTAAAAAGATTCTTCTTCTTGTTAAATGCAGCTTTTGCCATGATAATCCTAGATTTCAGTTCACAAGTACACCTTCCATCGTCTGTTAACAAGCTACCCAAATATTTAAAACATTTCACATTTCTATCTGTATGAATTTTGCTAACCGTTTTCTTATCAGTACTCATGGTTCTAAGAGAGGTCTTGATTCCTCTAAAAGTAGAAAAGAAAAGAGAAAGTTATACATAACTTAGGAAAATATAAAGGAGTCCCTGTGTTTAACGAATTAAACACTGCGTTATAAAGATGTGTAGTGAAGTGGATGTGTAGATCCACGTATTCTTGACCTCGGCATAAGTTGAATATGAGTGGTCAGCTTCACACACACCGGCCGCTTTACTCCCGAAAAAGCAGCCCCCGATAACTCTTGGATAAGGGGCTGGGTGACCCAAGAACCGGTCTGGACTCCGGGGAAAAGAGAAAAATTGTCCCCAGCGGGACTCGAACTCTGAGTTCCAGCCCTTAGCCCGTCGCTATACAGACTGAGCTATGTCAGCTGTGTAAAACCTAGGTACAGGCATTGGTTAGAATGATATTAGATGAGTACAGACAGGGTTGTAAATTTGATAGGCGTCTGCAGGTTCCAGAGCACTTGTTCTTCTGCGAAACTATTTACAGTGCCTTAATGCCTCATTACTACTTTGGGAACGTGTCCTGGAACATTGTAATAATGTCCATCATAATATGTGGTACTCGGGGCACGCGGTATCGTAGTTGGTTGGGGCACTATGCTACAAGCCGATAGTGAGGAGGTTTGATTCCCGATAAGGTTTCTCAATTTACCTAATCCTTTCACCCGCACTTTGGCCTTGGTGTCGACCCAGCCTCTACTTGAGATAAGTACCTGGAATCTTCCTGGGGGTAAAGGGCGGTAGGTGATTGAGCCCCACATCCTAACCACCATCTGTGTGTCGATTGTCTAGAAAATGTGGGAGCCTCGACGACTCATAATCCTATCGGATACCAGTCCTGTTACAGGGATAGCCTTACATTTTTGACTTTTTGTTATAATTGTTGTAACGTTTCGGCTCTTCTAAAACTGATTTTATTTCTTTGCGAACAAAGCATTTATTTTGTTATACCTATGAAAGTCCAGAAAATGTATACCCGCTCTAACATACAGAATATCTGCTTAAATAATTTATTGTTATATCTTCTGTTCAACTTTGAAAATGTCCGTAGATAACAAGTGATAACCCTTAACGACCGAAGTCCACCTATCGGGCCAGTGATGATTATGGTCGTCGTGGACAAAGTACCCCGATTTGTGCATTCCAGCATTTAAACATCTCTAGCTGAAGCGCGCACACCCACCGCTAGTAGAAGCGTATGAACAATCCTAAATATTTATTTTTAAATGTAGTAAAGTTCAATGTACACACAATTTTTTGTTATCTGCTTGACGTCTATACGTACAGGCTCCAACCCTCGCGTCATGTAACTTAATCTCGCCTTTGTGTAATACTCCTTGAAGCACCCGAGAAAATACAGTATCACCTCATATCTTGCACTTCAACTGCCTTTGAATTTCATCATTTTCCAAACAACGTTCCATTGCCATTGTATGATAAAATGAAACTACAATATTCAAATTCACTGTGAACTCACAGAAAACTGAATGCACTCTGCATCTCAGCTGCGATACAAACGCTTGGTTGCAACCATAGAAAGAGCAATATTCTCTTGCAGCTGCAATGGCAGGTCTTGGCACTGAAGTAGGAAACAATGAATATTCCCTCTATCCTTTCTTGAAGGGTCATGCTTTCACTTTTCTGTCAGTAGTCAAAAGACTGGAATATCGGAAGAGTGGAACAAAGACTTGAAACTTGCCAGCAGATAACCAAATGACTTTATTGCTTTCAACGGTTTTATGACACCAGAGGCTGGGAAAATATTTGAAGTGTTACAAACAGGAGTGATTTTATAATGTAGAACTATTATGTGAAAAAGTGAGAAACAAATTTACAGTATGCTTCAGAATTAAAAGACGAAATTAAATAGTTTGTAGTTTTTTGTCTAAATATTCCCAATCTAACGTTATAATATGCGACAGTGTTCTTTGCTGATAAAAACAAAGTTAATTCCATTAATTTATCATAAAAATTCTATTAGATACAGCATTTTAAATACAGTTCAAGCACCCTTACAGGAACTGATATTAAATGGAGAGCAACAGAGGGCATTTAAATAAACACCGGCCAACTCAAGCTACCAGCATTTCAAAACTCCGGCGTTTGCATTTTAAAGTTTGTTATACACGTTATCTGCCGGCCTTTTCACAGTTGAACAGAGGATATATCAATAATTATTTAAGCAGATGCTTTTGTACGCTCAAGTGTTTGTTCATTTATCTGGGACCATCTGAATACACAAAGGTGCACACAATACAGTCTTCAACGCAGCTTCACATGCTGTCGTTTAAACCACCAGTGAGTTCATCCTTTTGTGCAAATTTAACGCCATGTTTCAGCCACATTGGGCCATCGTCATGTATATATGATGATCTGCGTAAACTGTTATACTGCACTATAGTAGACGAGAGACCGCGAGGAGTGTACGCCTGAAACTTTTATTATTTAAATAATTTTTGTTAATATAAAAATTTAGGATACAGACTTTTTTCAGATCTTTAAAAATACGCAAACTTGTGTTTTATATATCGTTGGATTCCATTTTTTATTCTCTTTCACAAAAATGTGTATTCCGTGGGCGGTGTCCTGATTACATTTGTTCCGTTCGTCAGTGTGTCTATGTGATACGTCAACATTATTATTATTATTACTGTGCTGTGTCTGTAATTGGCCTTGGTGTTGTTGACTCGGCACATAAATAATAAAGAATCGAATTGAATTATTATAGTATTAGCATCAAATAGTAATCAAATTAACACCAGAATAATTTCAAATTCACATTCGCGACTACCGTCAATCAGTTCTCTCTACGGATTTCTGGCTCTTTTCAATTGACTGATTATAAATAACAGAACATTTGTTTATAAAATAAAATCTGTACATTATTTATAATTTATGATCTGTACAACAGATTTAGTTTTCTAATGTGATAATAAGCTGAACCTCAGAAATTAAAAATCAGAACCACAAATAAGAATTAACTATTCAAATTCTTGAAAACTCGGTAAGTTGTTAAACAAAATGATTATTTTTGTAATTCTCACGAAAACTGTTGCTACTTCTAAGCTTTTGCATGGAAACAAAAAATCTCTTTTTGTAACTCAACACCACCATCACAACAACAACAACAGTGATATCAGTTGCTGTTGTAAAACTTATAAGGTCAACCGATTCTTCCGCCTCTTCAGTATTATCTGTGAACAGAATAAAATGTCTGTTAATATTCTCGAGTTCTTGCAACATTTACAAGATAACTAATTATATGTGTATATACAGGGTGTTTCACGACTTTAGGGCTTAACTGCAGGAAGTGATTTACTAGGCCTTTCTGATCATAAAAGTTCATATAAACATGTGTCCGATTTTGGACGGTTACGGAGTTATGATCTTTTTTCATTCCAGTATACGCCCTCGTGTGAACCGCGTCTGTCAGCTGGCGGGTCGCTATTTTTAGCCAGCTACAGACAGAGCGTTTTCGTTATCTCGACACTTGTTGGCTACCTATGGTTGGGTCGGGGAAGGGGGGGGGTCTTGGTATGTCCGGCGCGGTTCACGACCGAGCGGCAGCCTGTGTTGCGGCCGGTGGTGGCATTTTCGAACATCAGCTTTAAGCACCAATAAATTCGAATTAAAGGTAATTTCACGAAGTTAACTTTACATTCATACTTTAAATGTATCATGTATCATGCTGGTTTATTATTTTGTTCCGTTTATTGTCAGTAATCGTTACCTTCTATTCTGAGTTTAAAATGGTCATAACTCCGTAACCGTCCAATCGGACACATGGTTATATGAACTTTTTTTATAACAACGACCTAGGAAATCACCTCCTACAGTTATGCCCTAAAGTCGTGAAACACTCTATATATGAGTATCATATCTCCGTTACCATAAAGAATTCGTATAGATGGAATATACATCAAAGGAAGTAATCACTTCCTAATGGAGGGAATATCCCGGCATTTTCCTGGGGAAAACAACTATACCGAATAAAGTATTTGTGGTTTCTATCAGTCCCTCCGGCATATTGTCAAATTCGTGATTAAGCAACAGTTAATTATAAAGTCAAAATTGCCAAATATTGCTTCCCGTGCGCGAGCGAGCTTATCATATCGCTATTTGATATTTGGAGTGTGTGAGAAGAGAAGGGTTTAAATGAAACATGTAGTAAAGTCCGTATAGGTAAACATTTGTCTCATACATATTTCTATACTTGACCTAAAAAAGAAATGCTTTATCGCCATTGTTTTCAATTTTGTTTGAGAACATGCCATTAGGAACGCCCAAATAAACCAGATGGGACTGAAATTGAATGGGACACATCAGCTGCTGGCCTACGCTGGTGATGCGAATCTACTGGGAGATAACACAGACCATAAATAAAGACACAGAAACTTTAAGTCAAGCTACTAAGGAGGATGGTTGAGAAGTAAGTATGCGTTGCTGTTTCATCAGCATAATGCAGGGCAAAATCATGACAGGAAAACAGCTAACAGGTCCCCTGAAAATGCAACGAAATTCAAGTATTTGAGAACGGGAATAAGAAATCAACATTTGGTTCAGCTTGAAAATGCAAAACAACGACTTCGTAAACACGTTCCCGCGACAACGAATTCGCACATAACAATACAGTATTACTACAAATGATTCATTCAATTTCAAAACACTATATTGGTCGCCCCGTACTTTTCCGTTTCCACAGACAATCAGTATCCTTAAACTGCCGATACAACCGCAGAATGCTCTGTTTACATGGTGGTTCCTTTCTGTGCTCTGCTCTGAATGCAGGCTGCACTGCAATAACAGACGAACATCTCGCATATTCTAACACACAAAAATCTCTTTTCCAGCTTCGTCGCCATTTTGTGAACCCCTGCAACCATGCTGCCAACTGGTGTATCACGATGCAAACGTGGTGATTTTGCGGCCCTCTTCGTGTATCAATCATATTTGTGTGTATAATACTTTGGAAAATATAGTGTTTTGAAATGGAATGAATCATTTTTAATAACACTGTATAATAATTGTTGGACGCACCGTTTTATATCAAAAGAAATTAGCGATTAGTTTTTCCCAGAACTTGTTCTTAGTCCTCCCACTTATTCATTAATTTAAATTAAGATCAAGTGTGCATGGTTGTCTTGTACGATGTGTGCACTCAATTTTTAAGTTGTTCACTAACTTCCTCTGCCTAGGAAATTTTCGGACACATTTTGCAAACGTCATGTCGTCAGCCGTAGCATTCGTAGGTGACTTCACAATTGCATCATCGCAAACTGCATACTGTCCAAAGTAAAAGTAATAGGCGAATGAAAAATTGGAGAGAAATCGGAAGGCGACTGTAGGGTCATAGCTACTATCCCCGCATTTGCATTGACGGTCCGAAAAATACGAGCTAGAGAGTTGGTGTTCCAACTAGGATTTCAACACATAACTTTCGAGAATACAAGTCTAGAACTCAAGTCTCTTCTGTTACGAAGCTATAGTGCTTCTGGCTTGTACTGGGACGTGCCCGGTTCGAAACTTGTCCGGGGCATTGACTATCCTGACAGAGAAATTCGTAGATTTCCTGCCACAGTCCAAGCAAATGACGGAACTGACTAAATCAGTCAACAAGAGCTTCCTTTCCCGTAGTGTCAAATTCACGATTCACTAATCGTGGTACCCTGTGGCGTGATATAGTCTTGAGTTCCTGAGAACTTCGGTAAGGAACGACAAAATAAATCAAATATGCTTGTACAGAGGCCGCCTCACACCAGTTCGAGGAGGCACTACTACGGACCGGACAGGAGGATAGGTGGTCCTCATGGCTGGTCTTCGCGGTGTGGATAATAGTAAAATCCCTGACCTTACCAGGAACTGACAGGGAATTTTTCTTTAATTCGGCCCATTGCCTGAAGACAGTGATGCTTGGTAAGTGAAGATACAGCTGTCAAAATACTTACCGTATCCAGTGAAGGAACAGAATTATCGCATCCAAAATCATTAACTTGATAGCTCCTTCCACCTGCAACACATATCAGTACAAGAGTTGTATAAAATGTAATCCTAACTGCACTTCGCCTACTGATTGAGTTTCGAATCTTACCTCTCTGATTATATGCCGATTTGTTACTTTCGAAATCTTGTTCAAGGAATTTCAATGAATCTCTCTCTCTCTCTCTCTCTTAGAAAACATTTCAACAACTCATTTAGAAAACAGTTATAATTGCATATTACGGAGCAATTTACAGACTAACTACGAGATATGCATTAATTGTTGCTGTTCTGAAACTTACACCGGAGTCCCCTACATCAGGTTTGGGTGCTGAAAAAAAGAAAATAATACAAAATGACATAAGAATGTTACACAGATGCACATTCAGACTCCGAATATCTCACTTGTTACGGTAATGTCAATTTCTTCTCTTTAGAAGAGCAGGACAGGCTCATCTACTCGTAATTTCACAACAAGGCAATCCTGTAAAACCTAAAGTTTTATTTCATTCCCTGTTTAAATCAGTGCAATCAAAATTTCATTCATTGTTCCTGATTACACGAAGAAAATTTGGGGCCTTTATTTCACAACAGCTAGCGAAAATTCATTGATAACTAGCTGGAGAAACTGGGGCACGCAGAAAACACGACCCAGTGCCACTTTCTTCATCACAAATTTTAAGAGACATTTTTTGGAATTGAACCCAGTGCAACAAGATGGGTGAGGTGGTTAATCACCTGTGCTATGCCACGGACTACTCTAACCCATATTTAATACCATGCTGTTCACAGCGTGATGTGTGCGAAAACGATGTGAGTTTACAACGTATTTAAAACGTTTATGAAGAGAATGAGAATCAAATATGATATATACATACTGTATGTACACATCAGGAGTTGTGATATTGAACATTCATTTCAAATATAGGGAGCCTAAAGAACGAATATACTTATAATAATCTCACGTGTTAGTGAACAGACACCGGGTTTAGTCTGGTAATTGATAGGCGTAAGTAACTATAACACTCTCAATAATTTGCAGCTTCTTCAAATAACTACGGTACGCATTGTGTCTTCAAAGCCTGTTATAGTCCTCACTGCTCGCAGCTAGGTTACGGCTACTAAGAGCTGAGATCCCTCATTTCGAACTATGAACTATATATGCTCACTCACAACTCATGAAAAAGAAGTCAAAGCCTGTGTTACTACGCGACTGGAGGTTGAGCATCAGTCAGTTCTTCTTGGCGTCAAACCCCTTGAGATTTACGACCAGAGATTTCTTTTTTCAGCTGAACCCTTGTGATCATAGTGCTTATGTAACATCCTCTCTGACGTGAAGACGGGATTGTCTCTTATGAATATGCCTGGTTTCCTGTCAAACGTATGTATCGCACATAGGGCATGTTACTGAAAATTCTTCCTTTTGCACCATATACAAGTCTTCTGTCACTGCATGCTTTGCAAACCAGATCATTTATATCTTGGCGGTGTCTCTTATTCTACAACGGTGACATAATCACTTAGACGGTCGTAAGCTCCATCACCGTCAATTTTAAGCCACTTATATTTTCCATGTATGACTTCACCTTGTCCTACACCTCGCACATGTCCGTTCGCTTAATTTTGTCCTCTCTAACAGTAATTACGATCTGGTCCTGAACCCCAGAGCGGAACTGACACCAAGCGGGCTGACTGAATGACCGCCGGTCACATGGTGACTTTGACTTTGGTGTAACCTAGTCATGACCAGTGATAACTCTAATAAACTGAGAAGATTTAGTGCGTATTATGTTTATTTGTAGAGTATGTAAATTAACGATGCTAATACAATTATTCCTAGTTAACGACTAATAATTGTTCACTAAATCTAATAACCAATGCAAACCCCGTGTCTAGTTATTAACACTTGACATTTCGTTACTTACATGACATGTCACCAGAAAGGGGTGCAGTCGTTTGCATAGAGGGTAACATGGCCCGGATTCTCTTAGAGCCACTTCTTTTCTGATTATTGTCCCTGAAACAATGTATGAGAAAAATCCGATTAATCTTTGATTACCAGGCAATAATTTGTTATTCATACGTCATTTCACCCTCAAATATAAAACTCCAGAGTTTTTAATTGTGGTAGATTGAGCTGCCCGAAATTTATTTAAATGCCCGTTGCTGTTGTGCGTTTACACGTCCGTTCCTGTTAGGGCGCTTAAATAAATGTAAGGGTCGTAATTGATGATGCTGTATCTAATTTGTGGCGTAAGCCCTGAGACCATTTTATTATGGCGCAAGCGGGGGTGAGGCACGAAATTTCCTATTCTATTCCCAACATTGTCGCCAATTTTGTTGTGGCGAAAGGACCATCCGCCATGGGAACCCACCAAATCCATATTCTATCCCACGCGGCAACCACTTTGTCGTGTCGTACAATTGCGACATCCTAATTCTTATAACTCGTCGCTTGCCAGCCAGTTTTGTTGTGTCACGTGACGGCCACCATGAAAGTTTAGAATATCCCACCTGATAGCCACCAGTTAAACATATGTGAATAGCTCCTACTCCGCCAAGTAACAAAATTACTACGAACACCCCAGTAAACACTCAACATGTGAAGCCAATTCAAATATAATGAAATCAACAAGTACATACATACAGCCCTTAAAAATATACAAGCTGCCATCACACACTCTTCCTTAACTTCTTAAAATTCACTACCCATAATCTAATAAACCTACATAATACAAGCACAATTTTTATATCCCACAATCAGTAAACCAAAGTTATCAAGTAACAACACTCTAGAAGGAAATGTCTGTCTCTTCACAAAGTGATTCTGCAGTATAAAATCACAGCTGCTTTTAACTAATGACATACTTCCGCAGACTCTGGTGTCATGAAACTTCTGGGAGCTCAATAATATATATTTTTCTTCTCCTAAAATCTGTTGTTGTTTTTTTTCTTTTTTACTTCCTTCAATTATTTCATTCTGTTGACCAGAGGGATAGAAATGTGAAAATATAGGAATTCAGGAGAGTCTGTAGAGAAAATTTTCCTTTATATATATATGAATTCCAAATCCTTCCATTCCAGATGGAGCTTGTCACAACCAGACGCTTGTATCAAAGCTTAGATGCAGTGTGCATTCACTTCTCTGTGACTTTTCAGTGGATTCAAGTACCATAGTTTCATTTCATGATGACACTAAAGCTAGAATGAGGGGCTACTGCGCAACTGCTGAACAATTTCTCACTTCCTTCCTCGGTAACACATTCAAAGGCGACAGGATTTTTTCAAATCCTTCGCTTCCTTCACTATAGAAACAATAATGCAGAAACTGACATCCGATAATTGTTACCGACTATGGAAAATTCGCACTATTTCTGACAGTCTAAATGCCACATACGAAAATTATTTTAATTCTTCGGAGCATTTCTCTGCTGGCGAAATTTATTTTTAAATTTAAAGGGCAGGTTTTGACGTGAGACTATGCATTCTCGAGTATTTTGAGGAGTACCATACAAAGGTACGCGGGGGTGAAGGCTGTATGTATGTGAAGCAGATAACCACGCAGAAGACACCTTCATTGAATTGTACTGTATTTAAAAATAATTATTTTGGATAGTGCGTGCTCTCTTACTAGCTGCGTGTGTTCGCGCCTCTGCTAGCTGTGTTTAAGTGGCCGAATGCACGAGTATGTGCACCTTGCCCACTTCGAAGGCACCTTTCACTGTACCGATATGTGCACTTAGGACGTTAAAGTTTTGGTATGTGGAATCATGTTGTCAATAGGTTACCTCAGAAATTATTTTCCACTTTGAACTTTCTCGCGGGAAGTTAGAGAAATGGCCATAAACGTCTCCATACAGGAATATACGAGAACCGTATAAAATAATTTAATTATATTTGATGTCTGGAATTTCAAGAAGAAACGGGGTCAACCCCTGACAAATAATAAAATTCATTTGGAAATTAAATATTAAAATATTAAGAAGAGATTATATTTGGAGAATGTTTCTGGAATATCAGCATTAATCTGTTTGGTCTTGGAGGAAGCACAACACCAATCAGGGTATATCTCTTTCTGTTTTGGAATTTCTTATATTGGTGGCAGAAGAGGTTGCTGCCCTTATTCAGGAGGAAATTAAGAGGAGATTAAACTCGGATAATGCTCGTTACCATTCAGTCCAGAACCTTTTGTCTTCTCGTCTGCTGTCTAAAAACATAATAATTAGACTAAACAAAATTATAATTTTGCCTCTGGTTCTGTTTGGATGTGAAACCTTGTCTCTGAGGGTGTTTGAGAATAGGGTGTAGAGGAGAATATTTGGACCAAAGAGAGATGAAGTGACAGGAGGTTGGAGAAATCTGCATAATGAGGAGCTTCATAACTTGTACTCTTCTCCAAGAGAAATTAGATTGATGAAGTGGGCATTGCATATAGCACGAATGGGGGAGACGAGGTTCGCATATAGGATATTCTGAGAAAGCCAGTAGGAAAGAGACCACTGGGAAGAGCAATGGACCTGTCAGAGAATTCATTTTCAAAGTGGGATTTGAACCCCTAACTTCCGAGAATACGAATCTAGAACTCAAGTCTCTTCGGTTACGAAGCTATAGTACTTCCGACATATACTGGGACGTGCCCGGTTCAAATCTTGGCTGGGGCATTGATTATCCTGACAGAGAAATTCGTAGATTTCCTGCCACAGTCCAAGCA